ATTCATAAAAAAATACACAAAAGTCATGGTTCACCTTTGGGCCACATTCTCAATATTCACCCACAACACAAACTGGATGCACAATAGGTGTTCCCTTCATAAATCTGCCACAATTCAGCCAAGATATTACACGTGGACTTTCTATTTCCGCTGCTGTTACCGCTCTCACCTGTCAAAGATACCTCGTAAAAAAAAATTACATGCCTGACTGAACCTGACAAGCGACCACATGGAAAATAATCTGAGCTATGTATATATGCCTGAAGATTAGGCACCCTAGTTTAATTCACCTGAAGTTTAGACACCCAAGTGCTAATCTAACCTTCCTTATCCTTAGCTATCCCCCCAAGTAGCGTTAGGGTGGTTTATCTTCCAGTGAAATGAGCTGGGGTGACTAATCCAAAATATGCTGTAATGTTCATAACTTTTATCCATTACTCCCTAAATAAATCACACATGTATCGCAATCATCACCCTCTAGGAGTTAACATAATGATTGAACTAAGTGAATCAGCACTTAGGAATGGAGCGCACAGGCCTTCCAGTAGACGAAGTTACGCTAAGCTCTTAATATCAAGGATTTTCCATAAATGGCGCTTATGTACGACAACTCTTTTCTCAATAAATTTCTACTAGTTCTTACCATACTCAGTTTACCGTATATTTAATGTGAGAATATGAAGACCGTAATATAACGAGTAATTATAGGAATAAATTAAATGGATCTGTTGATAAAAATCTCAAGACATTGTAGCAGGTGTGGCAGTTTAGGTGAAGTTAAGTTTGGTTAATTTTAGATCACGAGGTTTGATTTGGTTGTTAAGTGCTGAGAAATTGTTTAAGAAGTTGAAAATAATGAGCCAATATATTACGATGTTGTACCTACATATTGTGTATACATCTGACTGCAGCAACTCTGGTTGTTTACGAATTCAGATCAAAGGGGTCCTCTCCCTTAAAGAACACAATATATCAAAACATAATTAAGTGAAGAAAAAATGCTCCAGAACCGGAATATCAATGACATGGAACTCGAGAAAACAAATTCCGTTGAATTACTGGTATATGCAGGTGACCGGAAAAAATCAAGAAAAAAGCAGTAGATTGTCACAATTTTGGCTTGGCTAGGTTACTTTTTCGTGACATTTATAGTTCCAATATGGCAACGTTAACCATTTCGTAGTAGTTCTGCCACCTAGTTGAATTCCTCGCAACTTTCGGCGCTTCAGACACTTTTATAGCGAAAGAAGTGGTTCAGATTTCTTAGCTAATTCTGTACTCATCCATTATAACTGAGAGCTATAGTGTTAATGGACAGAAGCTTTCTCCCGTCCCGTGGTGACTTATACCCTTTGCCTAATCTCGCTTGCCTTCCTGCATGATATAAAACAGACGACGCTTGCCTTACTTCATGTTTCAAAGCACTCGTAAACGACCTGCTTAAGAATCTAAATACTAAAACTATGGAACCTTACCTCGTGTCTGAAAACTCGGCTCATGTTAGCTCAAGGTATTATAGTTAACTGATATCCAGCTCTCCTCGAGGGAACGGGTTTTCAAGGCTAGATACATATTTGGTGTCAGATCTAATCCTTAGAGCCTATTCATATTCCATAGCCACCTCGAGACTCAGCTGACACCTAACCTTGGCATTGACGTCTACAAGTCCACGCCGTGAGCTATATTAAGTCTAAAAGAAAATGGAATGATTTCATTGTCTTCAGAAAATCAAATTAACCGGTTGGTGTGTAAAATTATAAAATACAAAATGGTGGGGTTTAAACAATTGTACTGGACCGTGTTTGAAAGGAAAAAAGGTGTTTTGTTCAGTGGTTTAATAAAGGTGTCGTATTAGACAAAAGCCGACAAAAATTTATTCAAATAACACTAAACCTTTTTATACGTGGAAAATATTAAAGTTATACAGGTTTCATGTTTGTAAAATAGTCAATTAAAAAAATCCCGTCCTTCCGCGCTGCACAATGAAAAAATAATTACCCGAAAACCACATTTTTTCCACACGTGGTCTTACAATGAGAACAGAGGCAGTAACTCGGAAAACTTGTCGACCTTTTAAGCCTATCATAAGAATCGGATCCGAGTCTTTTTTTTCTTCTGATGCAAGTGAAGTACCGCTAGGCTACACCAAGACCGTTACCTTCCACGACTGGTATTCATGTAGAATTGTAGCCACTCCAAGTATCGTATATACACCATACAGTATTTACGATACCTGGTAATATTACATACATTTCAATCGTGTTCCCCAAATTTATAAAATATCAAAAAGGGACCTAATGACACTTGTCGTTATAATGGGAGGGAGGAGAGCTCTCTGTGCTGTATATGGTCCGTGACACATCCTCTAATGATCCGCAAGTAGGTTAAATTTCTGCAAATTATAGTGAATGACTTAAAAAAATAAGTTATCAGGCCAGGACGAAAATACATGCATAATATATCGTTTTTCACGTTTGACTATTATGATAATCTTGATGTTAGTGAGGTGGTTGAAAGCTAAAAAAAAAATAATAATAATCCCAAATCGTAACATATAGATAACTGTGTCAATCTTGAAGACCCACGTAGGCTTATGAGTTTAGTCTTCAGATATTAACACTTTAGGTTCCAAGTCTGACCGTAGTTGAAGAAAGTCTCATGATTAGACGTAGACAGCCAATTCGGTTTGCGAAATTGTACAGGGCTATGTTCCATACACTGCAGAGTAGGTTAAGCAGGGCCGTCCCTAGGGGGGTGCGGGGCCCGGGGCAACTCAGCCACTGCGGGGCCCCACCAACCCCCATGGGACTGTCGCTATGGATGGTAAGGTCAGGTCAGATTAACCAGTCAACAGGTAATGTGTCCGAGGTCACTGGGTCTAGTGCTGGGCCCCGCGGGCCCCCCACACGCGCGGGACCCTGGGCGGTCGCCCCTGTTCGCCCCTCCCCCCCATAAAGGACGGGCCTGAGGTTAAGCTTTCCTGTTTCTAGTACTCCCTATATGGTCGTACGAAAATGGAACCATCGTGTGGAATATAAGACATCCAAAATTATGAAATGTGAGGGATAGTATACGATGTGATATCTTAAACAACGTACGTGTGTGTGCGTGCGGGAGAGAGGGAAACCACCACTTGAGCCGAGTTGATGACTTTTACTTATGGCTGTTCTCACGTGATTGCTTTGTCCATGTATCATAGTTTTCTTAAGAACAGACAGTAATCAATAAACTAATACTTAACTATATCAAAATAATTACCCATATACTTCCATCGGGATTAACAACACCCACACGCTATACGAACTCTATAGTATAGTAAATATCACCAAACTGCACAAATACGGTACCTTCTACACAACATACCACCCTAAACCACCACTCACATGATCCCAGCGCAGCCACCAACAAAACTTACCATAATTGCGAGCCAAATACCACCACAACACACACTTGACTATCACACGCTGGCCATTTGTGGTAAGCCTTACATATGGCCCCAGATCGTTTGGGGGCTACACTACTATCTACTTAGTCATCTTCTCAATGTTAATTATGTACACACCCTCGTCAACTATACCCTCGCCCTTATGCTCTCTCCACACAAGAATTTAACTCTGATGAAACCAAACGAGAAAGTGGCCTTAATTGAGTCGTTTTGGCTAGTTTCGTCGGCTCCAATAATACATTCAATACTTACCCAATATATCAAAACAATCTCTTGAGGGATTTATCGCTGAACAAGAAACTGTTAACTCACTAAAAACTATTTACACAACAGTGATCTTACCTGCTTCGTCATATCAAGAAATATATATTTTCGCTGTTATAATGTTTCCTGGCATACCATTTTTTAACATTCTATGCACGACAATATACACGTTATAGTGTATTTCTGCGCTTTAACACTTGGGTCTTTAAGAATATATTTTAGGCTTCTGTATACACTAAATATCAGACATTAAAAATTAAGAAATACGTCTCTGATTGTAGGTACACAGTCTCTAAGAGTATTCCCGTTATTGTGACTAACCCCAAAAGCAACACTCGAATGACTGCCAGGAGAATGAATTTACTCTAATCTACTTATCAGTAGCACTTGCCAACTGCGTGAAGAAAAAAATATAAAGGGAATGGCCCAAAAATTAAAGGAAGCAGAGATTGAAGCAAACAACCAACTATAAAGTAATTAAAAGGGTTAATGATACGTAACAAACACTGAAGAAAAACATGAAGTATGAGACTACGTAGTAGTCTACCTCAGCTTAATACTGTGAAAGTTACTAAAGCTTATATTTGTGTATTTATCTTTGGTACTGTATTAGAACATAAGCTTTTGCTTCTTTGTTCTGTATTAATGTAGTAAATTTTAGCAAATAACAATTCAATGGTTCGAAATTCAGATAAAGAGATAATGTCAAAACGTTACCGAATAAATATGTTGCTGTTCATTTCTACCCATACGCTGCTAATAGCGTGAAAACCCGTATATTAAAAATAGATACGCAAAGTGAGCAACTTCATGACAGGCCCCCTCTGTGTAGATAATGAGAAGCGTCAGCAACAGCAGTTATTTGAGATGTAACAAGCGCCATCACACAAGCAAGCACAATTCACGCAGACGAGGCACAACTTTTACTCTTGCCAACTACGTCGTCCACTGCCCCCCTTCCACTACTAGGTTAAGTGAGATTTAGGCTAATGCGGTGCCGAGTGGGGGATGGGAATGATAGGTCACTGGTAAACATTATGGACAAAGTTTCCAAACCATCAACAAGTGTTTTCCAGCACAACTTTGGCATCAGGGATAACGTGCCATTGTTACTCTTTAAAGATGATTTTTTTTTGTCCGAGTGCTGAATTGTACGAATGTGGCGCTCTAAACTCTGTACCAATAGTCTTCATACACACACATGTTATTACTTTAAATGCCATTTAAATACAAACTGAAGATAATGTTCCTAAAATTATAAACCAATGAAAACAACTCAGCTGCTACTCACCATTTTTGCCTTTGTAGTTGAGATTTTTCGCTCTTTGTACTGAAAATAAAACAAATTTGTCAATTAGTAGGCTACAAGTTCAGGAGATTACAAATTTGAAAAGTGCATAACTGACAAACACGAAAATCTGCCTCCCAAAATCCGCTTTGATAGCCAGGAAATGTTATCTGACCTATTCATATCATTCTGTGTCAACTGATTTTGGAGTCCTAGTTTTATCCTTGTCCGCCCGTGTCAGAGATGTAGTACATACAAAATTTTCTTTAAACACCACCGGTTAGTCACATCAAAAGCCGATTACTGTGATTACGTTATTGCATAGTTTAACCTTGAATAAGTATTTTTATAAACCTTTGGTAATAAGTTCATTCCAGGTGGTAACATTGATGTCAAAGAGAATACTTTTTGCCACGAGTATATAAGGATGGCAGTTGCATCTATCAAATGGTAATCGGCAAAATGTCTTTTACAGGTCTGGTTACTATAAAACATAACAAACCGTTACTAATAAACCATATAAAATGAATGTTACCAAAGCTTTATTTCAGGTTTCCTCTTACACCGACCTAACTAGTCAGAGATGTGCAATATATTAAAATATCCTACCACTTTCACCCTCTGCACAATGTGATAAAGATATTCCCACCCAATTACGCTACGCTGTACGTGTACGTGCTAAAACTGTTTCACCCAACCTGAGCAGAAAAGTCAACACCCATATGAGCGGAGGGACCAGAAAAGCCCAGTGAAGGGCTCGTTGTCCTTAGTATAACCTATATTTATTATTGAGGACAAACCGGTATCTTCACTCTTACCTTCATGTAAACCGTGATCTGTTCTATGGTGTCCCGCTTCAACTTGATCTCGGTAAACGAGAGTTCCCCCACAAGTTAATTGTTTTACCCAATTTTCATTTTCCTTTTTCTTAGATTTCATCAGAATTGGAATTCCAACCAAATTTCGTCATTAAGTTGGTAATAATAAATATTAAACTTTACAAATATATGCCATATGCTCTCACTCAATGCATTAACACCTTCCGTGTTGGTATTCTTAATAATTATTCTACTGAATGACTCCAACTTCCAGCCCACAACGGTATTTAAACTTTCGACAGTAATTACAAGGTCAACCGCTGGCGTAATGTTGGCTAATTTTGCTGGAAAACTCACTACATGGGATCCCGTCCTCCCTTGCCATATCCTGGGTTCAGGGTCGCCCTTTGTAAAATCATGTGTCTGGTTATGTTGAATTTGGTTGAAAATGTATTCCTAAGTACAACATCCTGTAACCTCGTGCAATTTAGCCGCTACCGCCGTTGTAATCGATGGTAATATAAGAACTGGCGGTCGATAAATACAAAAAGTAATGAGGCTACTGTGCATACTAAAGGGTAATTGGCTTTAATTATCAATAGAAGAAAGTAATAAGCAGGCTATTAAATACACTTCGGATACCATGATGAAATTACTAGGTAAAGTACACTGGGGGGTGATAATGGGGCTACTTGATGTTCTGGATAGAAGCGTAAGAGGCTCCAATGAATGTACAGTTCAAGAAGATACTGGTCAGTTAAACTGTGATGATATACTGTAGGACCAATAATGAAGTGCGTACCCGAGTGTTAAACAAAGAAATGCAATTAACAATGGGGTAGTCTAAATCCTGCATAATGAGTGCAGATCGACAACAGCGAAAACCAAGTGGTTGACAAGAGAAAGCAATGAGCAAATTGTTCTAATGATGGAGTTCAAGGTTTTTAGCACACAGGCGTGAGGAACGAGTCACTTAACATGACGGTAAACTGAACATGAAACACTTCCCTGACGGAAATAGTCATGAACAAAACACACACAACTGCGTGAGATATCGAAATGTAACCGAGCTTGCTGCCCACCAAATATACGTCTGAAGCATCCAATTAAGCAAACACACACACGTTATCACTTGGAACACAACATGCGTTTAACTTTCACTGGCGTAACGATGTAAAAGGACTGACCTATAATTTTTACCAAGTCATACATTAATTCAATTATAAAATAATAGGCAAATGATGCACATCTTTTTTTTTGTCACAAAAACATGCATTTTATGTCGTGTTTATTTGACAAAATCCCACCTAGATTAATCTAAGTATCCATTTAAGCATAAATTGCAGGGGAGCTGCTGAACTATGAAAGAAAAGAGGAGCGAATCCCATTTCTGAATACAATGAAGTTATTGCAGTGATTGGAAATAGACAATGAAAATGAATACTACTGGCAACCACTTTACTACCCTAAGAAAATGATAAAACATACCAAAATACGAGCTATTTTACTGCGAATATTTCCCGTTTCTATTCAATTTCGTACTCCTTAGTGGTGCATACATTACCTTGGTCTCTCACACAAGGCGGTGCAACAGGTGGGCGACTATGCTATTAAAGTCTGTCCCCCGGCAGCTGTTTGTAAATAATGGTTGTGCATATCCCCCCCACTTCTATTTTTTACCTTTCCACGCCGAATTTAACAGTATTTCACCTAAAAAATAATGCGATATTTTGGGAGAAAGCTGAAAAATTCTCCAGGGGGTGAACATTGTGCTGGAACACAACAGCTTCCATCCACTGACTTTCTGATACTCCATTTTTTAAACATTAGGGTGCTGACCGTGCTGCCACACTATATAGCATACAGTACATTTTGCCCGAAATGTTACCATTACCAGAATATAACCTGGTTAAAATAACAAGGAATCTATTTACCATACATATACAGGTTGACAACCCTTTATTTGAAATTCCGAAAACCGAAAGTTTTTTGAGGAGCAATTTATTTATTTATTTATTTTTTTTTTACAGGGATTAGCCCACCCAGGCATAGATCACTGACCCACATCGGGGCCTGGGGGGCGAAAATGTAATAGTAATACTAATTATAATAATAATAATAATTATTATAATAATACTTGTAATTATTCATAGTAAATAAAAATTTTAATTAAAAAATACACCAAAAAAAGAAAAAACAAAAATAATAATAATAATAATAATAATAAAGAAATACAAGAATTAAAAAAAGATAAAAAGTGAGTAACATGACCGAGACCTATGAATTATTATTACCTGTATTATTATTATTATAATTATTATTATATTTTCGCCCCCCAGGCCCCAATGTGGGTCAGTGACTTGTGCCTGGATGGGCTATTAAAAAATAAATAAATAAATAAATAAATAAATAAATAAATAAATCTGAAAACCGAAAAATTCCGAAATGCCTCTGGCCCCCAAGGATTTTGGATAAGGGATTGTCAACCTGTAAATCATTCTGACTTTCCTAACGATGTTTAATTTAACGAGTCTGACAGTGAAGTTTAAAAAAAAATAAATAAAAATAAATAAATAAATAAATTAATGGTTGACAACTGAAGTTTTTGTTTATCTTTTAAGTAGAGTTAATTATTTACAGTTGGCTGACAAATCAAGTTTATGCATTTAAAATAAATACTATAACTTAAACATACTGTACATCAAATTTCGACATGATGACAGCAGACCGGTGTGTGTGTGTGTTGGGGGGGGGGGGGATGAGGATAGTAATGTTATTGCCTCCCACATCAAGGTATGAACAAACTGAGTACTTGGCAGCTAAGAAATGTTATATAAATGATAACAGTGAACCGCTTTTCCATACTTGTCTGTAGTATTTTGAAAGAAAGCCAACCTTAAGCTACAAAACTGTAAAGTACAGTACAATACAGTACAGTACCAGTATATCTAAATGCATATGTATTCGTTCGTGTTTCTATGCATGGAAATATAAAATGGTATCTGCAGTAAATTACGCATGAAGGCTTGGCTTTAAAGTCCTTTTTACTGATGCCGTCATTAGCGATAGATCTTAAATTATACAGGTTCAAGATCTCTTGCAATACACCTGTATATGAATACCGTACTGTATTGTGCATTATTTATTACATTACACAAAGTAAGGAATAAGGAACATCTGAATGCTGACAGCATGTACTGCACTGCAGCTTTCAAAATGCTTGTAACTTTTGGGGAATATTATATGAGGAGCAAATCTTGCATAAATAAGTACAGTACTGCATACAGTATATGCATTCCACTCATGTAATGTACAGTACTGTACTGTATTGGCAAAACCAGATTTTCGTGGGGAATTTACTTACTGCGGGTACCGTATCTAAAGCTTACTGTACTGTATATGGGTACCCTGCATCCTGGTATATAATAAGAATATCTCTCTAACTTCTAAATATTCACTTTTTTTTTTCCTTTTTAACTATACAGGTACAGGTATAGCCATATTTAATGTCTGAAATACTTGTCAACAAATCTCATACTGAGGTTTGCAGGAAGGGGATGAACACTCAAATTCCTTTGCACAAACTATTAAAATACAGTTCTGTACTGCACTAGCTTTCAATTGCGTACAGTATTTCTAAAAATGTATATTTTATAATAATGTACAGTCATCCACAAAAGTCCTTTCGCTTCTCCTCCTGAAACACGAACCCCGAGATTCAAACACGTGAACCCGAAGCAGTAGACACTGATACATTATTCTGTCCATAAATTCTTCGGCTTCACGAGTCTAAATCTCAGGGTTTGTGGTTCAGGAGAAGCGACAGGACTTTTGTGGGTAACTGTACAATATACTGTACATTACCAACAGGTATTTTTTTAATCATAGAGCAATGGACAGACTGATAGGGTACATTTGATAGCAATGACACCATACACTGTGCTGCATTATTTCTAATTTATCATATTAACCACATATCAGCTTAAAGTCATTCGAGTGTCTGGTCTCTTCTTTGTTACAACACATACCCGGTAATATAAAGGAGCTACGTACTCCCTAAATATACACACAAATTTGCCAACTATATTTTGAGGACATTTATAAGTAAAACTTACAATATTCTTACTACCAGTACTGCATATAAAACAAAGGTACAGTACTTGAACTTGGCTATTACACATACAGCAGACTTTTGACAAATCTTAAAGACAAATGCTGGAAAATCTGAAGTACAGTACTGTACAAGTAACGGGTAATGAGAATTAGGGGAAAAAATGCAAAATCAACAAAGATGGTAAACAACTATAGTACAGGGTGGGTAGATACATATAATGTACTGTATAAGTTAATAGAAAACTTTAAATCCCCAATGGCAAACTTTTCAGAGAGGAATATTCAATAAACATACGTATGCCAAAGAATATATAAATTAATTACCTGTAGACTACAATGATGTAGAGTTGATGATCCCTTGCTAAGAAAAGTGACTCCAGGCACAGGGTCATTTTTTATATTCGAGAACCCTAAATGATTACTGTACTTTACTATATTTTAGGGTGTGCAATAAACGGGAACCTAAATATCAGTAGCGATAAATTCAGATCATATCATTGCAATTAGCATGACTTTATTCCTATTGATTTTTAGGCTACTGTTTATTGCAAGTCCTAAAATATAGTACAGTACAGTGATCATTTAGGGTTCTCAAATAAAAAAAAAATGACCCTGTACAATACATGCACCAAGAAAATGTGTTTCTATGAGTAATACAGTACGTGCACCGTCCATACCGGTATACAGTACATGTACAGTAGATTTAATTTTCTAAGACCAATACTGCCACAGGGTTCTAAAGGCTGATCAACTATAAAAACTGGAAGACAAATACAAATTGCAGAAATGAGGATTTTACTATTGATCAGTAGTTTAAGTGTATCAGAGATACACTAAATATGAAGTGAAAATATTAGGGAAGAATTACACCACTGTAAATGCAACATACCTGTTGAAACAATTCATACAAACAAACTAGCATGGATTCCACCAGGAAAGGACTTGAAGAAGAAAAGGAAGAGATGAACAATGCATGGAAGAAGTATTGTCGAACAACAAGATAAAGATATCTCTCAGAGGGGCATTTCTTCTTGTCAAGTTTACCAAATTAAAAACCCAAGTCCCCTTCTTGATCCGATCATTGCTATCTCATATATGGTGGTACTACAAGTTCATATATGATTTTGTTACAGTAATAAATGAAAATTAAAATTCATGCCACACACCAATCCATTATACTATACTGTAAATTACAGTACAGTAACCCCGTGTTTTTTGCGGACTTCTTATCGCGGTTTTGACCATTCGCGTTTTTTTTTACTAAAAAATTATATACAGGTATATATAAAATATCCTTTAAAAACAAAATTTTTTTTGCGCCATTTTTTATATTCCCCTGTACGGTGCGGCAAACAGACGCCACCCATTCCTGCCTCAGACACCCGCTGCTCTAAGAAGCCTCAGTCCACATGTGCCTACCGTACTGTGAACGCTACTGTGACTGCGTGAGGGCGGGCAGAAGCCGGGACAGCAGGGAGAGGCTGGCAATGCGGGCGTTGCCGACCTCAGCGAAATATAAATAATTGTATTTACTTGTAAATAAAAAAATTTTTTGTATGTAACTGTGTTTATGTTTTTCCATTATTATACTACAATATGATTAGTTCAAATAATGATGTTAGTAAATGCCGGTACAGTGCATCAGTGACCAGTGTGACCACTGGGGAGTGAGTGGACAGCATGGTGTGGTTAAGTGCATGACCTACCTGAGCTGTTTGGTGGCCACAGGTACAGTGATTTCTAAAAGAGTATTCGCGGTTTTGGCTTTTCACGGGGGTTTCAGGATCATAATTCCCGGAATAAACATGGGATTACTGTACTATACAGTATTGTATATGATGCCATTTTCAATATTACAGCAATTTGAATACAAATGATTTTGAAAATGTGAATGCAAGAATTTTGTAATTATAAAAAAATCAAATATATTGTTTGGAATCCCCAACATGAAGTGCCCTTTATAAATGAAGTGAATTTTCATTCTTGTTTACAGTTTGTTACCAAACCAGACATAAGAGCGGTACTGACGTAAGAGATCTTTAATACTTGGATTTATGTTATAAGTCTAGTTTAATCTCAAACATCAACACCAGAGAACCTAAATCCAACATGTACATACTGTATTATAATCATATAATATACCCTGGGCTGCATATCTGTCACTACAGTACATACTACAGTATTTTGGATATACTGTACTGTACTGTAAAGAGCTAGCTACCAAACAGGGAGGTACTACTGCCTGGGAAGATATTGGAAGCATAATGTGTTGTCTAATGGTAGACCCTGCTGCCATATGGCATCACGAAAATTGTGACCAAGTCCCAGGTTGCTGATCTGACTTTCTGCTTCATTTACACACAATTCCAGGGTCTCAATTGTTTCTCTTACCATTGACAACACAACATACATATATCGTTTCTCACTTTTGATCATTTTTTCATTTTTGTATTTATAGATCTTTATTATTAAAATTATTATTATTATTATTACAGTTACTGTATTATTATCATTATTTTATTATTGTATTTTTGTTTGTTTTATCAAATTTTATTTATTATGAATTATTATGACAATTATTTATTATTATTATTATTATTATTATTATTATTATTATTATTATTATTATTATTATTACATTTTCGCCCCCCAGGCCTCGATGTGGGTCAGTGACCTGTGTCCGGGTGGGCTAATCCCTGTAAAAAAAAAAAAAAAAAAACTTTGAAAGATTCTCATGAAGGACTTCTTCTCTCAAGGTACAGTACATTCTGTATACAGTATATGCCCATATAAGAAAAAAAATTGACAAAGGTGGCATTCTCTTGGTCTTGTAAATGAATTCACTAACTTACAAAGTCAGGTAGTGAAAATGTGTTGTGGAACATGTTACTTTCATACAATATATAATATAAAAAAATTATCATGACAAATACAGGAAAAAGATATGTGCAACAAAGAACAGACCAATCGCCTGAACTGCAACTAAGCTAATAAGTTGAGTGAAAAATTAAAATGTGCTATAAATTGTAAGGGTAGATGGCTTTGTGATGGCAGTCTAAAAAAGTAAAATAATAATCTATCTGCATACTGTACAGGGTTTCACTCTTCATGAAAGGTAAAGGAAAGGGTAGCCATCATATTAAAAAAAAATTGGGAGATCTTCTATGAATTCATTTGTTATACAGTACCTGTAGTATAAAGAAAGTGAACTCGCAAAATATCAAGCTTTAAGTGTTCATACTAAGCAAGCAGCCTTCCTGATCATGCTCAAGGGTATGGGACTAAACCATTTATGAACGAGGGGATGTATTAAACCAAACCTGACATTCCCAGGACAGTTGTATATGTATAAAGTACAGTACTGTAGTACATTTGATTGCCTCTAGTCATCAGTTTTCATTTAAAGTTCAACCCTATTACTGTTTGATCATTCAAAACATAATTTTCTAGTGTTCACCCTAATCTTTCAGGTATATGTTTTATACAACATGATGAAGATATCATTAATAAATATCAAGAAATAAAGTGGCAACCATCTCCTTAACCTTTACCCACTTTACATATAATGTCTTGAAGCAACAAACTGTAACATTCCAAGAAAGACCTCATGTGGATCTTTGGTTTGTTGGGCTATAATTTGTTACAAATAATTATTGCATGCTTAAACTTTCTAGTTTCTTAAAAACCTAAGACACAGTAATAAGACACGAACAGCATCAGTGCAGTAAGGCTTCCCGTCACTATTGTAGTTAATAGTGTTTGTTGGTACTTTTATTTTACCTACTTTAATCATATCATGATATTTTTGTATTCATAATTACTTACATTAAAACTTCCGACACGGGTGAGACTTGAGGTAAAGATAACTCACGACTGTGTATGGGTTCAAAGGTCACCCTGTTCTACTTTTATACTGGTCTTATTATAACATCTAAGCTATCATAATATATCACATTTTAACAGTTTTGGTCTCTAATAAATAGTAATTCTAAGCAGACAAGTACTGTAAGTTACCTGAGGAAAAAAGTTCCTGAACTTTTTTGCTCAGGTGAGGTGACTAACGGTGATGAGAAACACCTGAAAATCAGTCCTAGAAAGTCACTGACAGCTGGCCTGCCTGGCAATCTTTAACTCCTTACCTGTAACTTGCAGGTGTGTAGGCTGCCACATCTTCCCGATAGCAATATTCTGAAACACCAGGGCAGCCTAAATTCCTTTCCACCGCCCCACCAAACTGTTGAATCCACAGCCACAGGTAATGCGAGTTATGACAACTCTCACGGTCGCTTACTGCACCAACACTGCCACCGCCAACTTCACCCTCACCTACCCCTCCTGTGCTGCCACACCGCTCTCACATTTCTTTTTTTTTCTTCTCCGAACTGCGGATGTATTATTATAATTTAATGTATTAAAAATTACTTTATATATTATACCATTTAGGAAAGTGATATTCTATTGTTTTATTCTGAATTATTTTTAAGAAAAATAAGAGATTATAAACATTAGCTGAGACCTATTGGTTACCTCTGTCATATCTCAAATGGCAAAATTTATTCTACGACGTTTTATGGTTACGAGATATTACAACGGTCATTAATTTAAAGTAATGAATACACCAATATCAATCTTCAGAAAATATATTTACATGCACCTAGGTAAAGCTGTCAAACTGAAAAAATAATGCACAATCCAATGGCAAAAATAGTAAGCTATAACCAGTTTTGTTTGCCACATACAATCAGTTCCCAAGTAGCTTTCATATTATTAAAAGAAAAAAATACGATTAATTGATTGGAATTATTTCTACGTTTTCTTTAGGAAATATACTAAAAAAATGGAATTGTCCAAGGTGGGAAGCAGCTACAATGAGTAGAAATGGGTTTATAGCTTCACACAGGTGTTGTCTTGGAAAGTAACTGTACAAGAGCTACTGTTGTATCTACTGTACATTACTGAAGGATTATTATCATGTACATTACTTTAGTTTTCTTTTATATCTTGAGTCTGTCATACACCTCATTCTAGCTTAATTTTTTGCACCTGACTTTTAAAGTGGCTTTCGAGTCCGTTAACTAAATAACTGTTGACCGTGAACTTGCATTACTGTTACCTGGTTGTACTCAAGATACATTTAGCTGTGATAGTACTTTTATCATTAGAAGTCGAGAATTCTGACACCTGTAGACTACCTATAGTTTTACATGACTATAAAGAATAGCGCAAATTACCTGTACAGATACACTCCAAAAACATAAGTAATAGTTTCTTAGAAAAAATCTACTGTCCGCCCAGTGTAATAAACTGTACTATTCCAGAAATGACATACTGTACATATATTTGTATATTCTAGCGTCCACAGTTTTTATCCGATCGTTCAATAAATTTCATAACAGATCGGCCTAGGCATAAAGTAAGAACTGCATGCTTTTATTTAACGTTGGACGAAGGCCCAATTGATGTCCAGTTTTCACAAGATGTGTTAATTTGTGTAATAAACATATAAACATAGGGTGTATAAATGTTCAGCAAAAAAAAAGTCGAAAGAAGATACAGTTCAGCATAATTTCTACCCCTAAAATGGCACTGGAGACTGAGCACAAGTGGTAGAAAAAAAATAGTCGGAAACGCCCCGTTGTACTCTATATATAGTGATACACTGGGTTTGGCGAGGGCGGAGGAGGTGGCGTTGGTAAGGACGTGGGTGTCTTAAGTGGTAGACTACTAAACACGAGCTGGAGGCCTCGCCCAGTTTGACAGTTGACATTTTTTTGTGATACCTTGTGAAGATTTCCCCCGACCTACCGCAGCTGGATCTTCCTGTTGGCTTCTGTACATTGCACTCGGATATACTGAATGCATTTAGTTTTAATGTGATTAAGTGTCTTAAGACGGCATAGAAGGGATGTCCTCTTCTGCAACAAAGTTATCTTCTTGACGTGCGTAGTCTTCTGCCATGCAGTTTATTATATCTTAAATATATGGTGGAAGATTGATTTAAAAGTTTGGGGCGTTTTTAATTAATATCTTTTCCCTCAAAGTTTCATCCCCACGCTGTTGGTTATATAAATACTTTTGAAGCGGCTTGTCCTGCCTCTCGTTTGTCTGCGCCTCGTGTTTGTTACTTTGGAACATGCCGTAATACATAATCTAATTAAGTAACTCTTTTTACGTCTCTGTAGGGTGTACAGATTGAAGTATCAAACGTTTCTAATAGTTCACTCGTCTTATGGGGTTGATATTGCTAGCAGAATATTTTTAGCCACTTTCTCTTGAGCTTCTGCTACGTTTTTTTTTGGGGGGGGGAGGGTTCCAGAACTAGCAACAATAATCTCGAGATAATACTAAAACCTTCCAGATGTATAGTAGTTTTTTTTGGCTAACTCCGTGAGAGATATGCTAAACATGGCATAATTTATTGTGATTCAAGGGTCATTCAGATTGTGCACTATTTGTAAAAACTCGACATTATTATCTACTTAAGTGAGAATCAATTCTCAGGGTGAAGGCAAGGGGGTTGTAGGGGTATCGAGATATTAATGTTGTCTAGCACTCAGGATGGAAGGAAACTTTCCTAATGTGGTTTTCTTATATAATATATATAAGTTATATGATAGACAGTCTGGTGCTGAATGCATGTGGTGGGGAGCAGCTCAGTAGAAGACGTTCGGGAGTATCGTGTTGAAGGAGGTAGATGTGCAGGAGCTTCGTTGGTGTTGCCTGTTGCTGGCCTCCTGGTTGAATGAAATGTTAACATGGAGCTTGCTGAGATGTTGCTTTGTTCCAGGAAAATGGGCTGAATGAATCTCGATACGATACGAAGTCTTTAGTTAAGAGGTGAAAAAAAGATTATTAGGGGTTGAAGGAGAAATGGTGAAACTGAAATACAGTGAGTTGTAATGACCACGGTCTTACCCATCCAGTTAGCGCAAAATCAAATGATTCCATATTGCAGCAATAGCCCACAAAACGTAACAACTCGGCTTTCGTTTGAGTCCTCCATCTGAGAGAGTCGTTTTCTCATCACTTCAAACACCTCAGAGTCCTCCGTTATCCCATTTTTCTCTGACTTACTGAAACCAACCTCTCTATAAATGAATTTAGTGAGAAGAGAACACCCTTGTTTTTGAGTCAACTTAGATATGTCTGTTTACAGTTGGAACATTCAAGATCCATTCCATGAGAGTGGGGTAGAATGCTTCAACTGTCCTTATCGATAGTAGAACGTGTCAAGTAAGTGAGTGTCAGAGTTTGCAGCTAGAGTGGCGTAATTTTATGTCGTCCGTGAAGGGGTATCCATGAGTTTCTGATCGCGCCTGAAGTTACTCCTCATTTTGTCGCCGACATCAGAGAATCTCATGTTTATAGTTTAATTAGTGTCAAGTTGTCTATTTAGAAAGTCATTAATCTCTGAACTATTCTGTCCTTCGTTATAATCTCCAAGATCTAGCGCCTCCCCGTATTGAATAGCCCTTGTTCGCCTCAGGCCCTGAGCTTGCAGAATTAATGTTATCGACATGTATATTCCACCTTTTCTGTAGCTCAACCTCTGATTGAATTATATATGAATAGACATAGGAAATTACACAATCAAGAACGCAGGAGTTCATAACTAAGTATACAGTGATCCAAAATGATAGAAGTTATGTTGTTGGTAAGATCGGCCCGCTTCTGGTATAGATGGGAGGCCCAAAGCTGCTTAGCAGGTGCACGTATATACCTCTACACGAGGAGAATCGCATTCGTGACTTCTCAACGTCTCTCCAGGTATGTTAACGTGTGTTC